AAAAAAAATTGAGCACATCACTAATTTGCGCATGGCGCATGGCGCACGCACACTGCACGGTGCACCGCAGAAGTGCGCCGCAAGTATGAAAATTCCTTGTGGCATCCTTGTGGCATCCTTGTGGCCCCAGCCAAAATTTCCTTATCCCCAAGGGACCTCGCGCTATTCCTTGGAGCTCAAGGAACCGTGACTCAGAGAATGGCAAAGACATGCGTCAACGGAGAGTTTCAGTTCTTGGGTGGTCCAGATGTGGTCTGACGGCGTTATTACAGACATCGCCGCCCTCCAACGTCTGCCTAGTCCCCCAACGGCCTCCAACAGTTACCGTTGGTGGTGGGCCTCCCTCGGGTGGGGTCTACTGGCGTCATGCGGTCTCCCACGTTCGAGGAACGTCCGCAACGGTCATGGCCAACCTGTACCGCAGGCTCCCTCTGCTGCTCCTCGTCGCTGTGCTGCTTCTGGTGGTCCCCGTGCTGCTCCCTCTGCTGCTCTCCAGGTGTGTCATTGCTGCCCTGTCCGTCGTGCCATTCATGGCCGACCTGTACCGCAGGCTCCCTCTGCTGCTCCTCGTCGTTGTGCTGCTTCTGGTGGTCCCCACGCTGCTCCTTGTCGTTGTGCTGCTTCTCGCATTGTCGAAGTTCTTCCCATGTCCCTCTCGTCCTGCATTTCATCCACAACCTCGGCGTTGCTCGTAGAATGTCGCCGCAACCCAACGCGTAGCACAACTGAATAACAGCCTCCGAAGTCCCCACGTATTCGGGGCCGTCATGTGCAGCTTGCATCCGCGTCCTTCTCGTACGCGCGCGCAACTGTGCCTTCATTCGTCCCAACGCCCTCTCCTGCTGACAACGGAGGACAACGACAGACACAGCTGCCGCCACGGTCGTCCTCTCCAGCAAAGTCAACAGCGCATGCCCTACCTCTCTGCCGCCCTCCATCGCCAACACTTCCACCGGAATGACATGTCTCCACTGCCGTGAGGATGGTAGACTTGCGCAAAGCTTCCCCCTTTGGGTCGTCGTCGCTCTCCTCGAAAAACTGTGCAGAACGACCCCCGCAAAGTGGCATGCGTCGATGGCGATGCAAGCTACCACTATTCGCACATGCACACAGCGCTGCGCTTCTCGGGAAGGGACGCCGCCACAAAGCCCGATTCGCCCGTGCCCCATCTTCGCGCCGCCTGCCGATGGTCGTACTCGTCACCACAACTGCACTTCAAATTTTGTGGAGGTCCCCTACTTTTTATTCTGTTTTTCGTCCCCTGGCCCTGCCTTTTCCCGTCGGGCGCCGCTGGACCACGCTCGTCTCCACACAGACACAGGACGCTGGACCACGGACACTCCCCCCCGCTGCCGCATATAATCGTATGAAAACGGCCACGGGCAGGCCGCAAGTAAACGTCCTCGGGGGTCGTCCTTGAGGATATATGGAACGAGGCAGCAAAAATTCCTTAAGAAACTTCCTTGTAGCTCGAGGAAATCATAAGGAGTGTCTAACGACCCCCTTCTTCTTCTCCTCCTTTTTTTTGTCGGGGGGGGGGGGGGGGGGGGGGGGGGGGGGGGGCACTCCAGGGACAAGAACAAATTAATTATCAACCATAAAAGAGGCAGAAAAAAAAAAGAGACTACCCCACCCCCAACCAGAGGCAGGGGCCTAACAATGCTACTTTGAGAGGGGGGGGGAGGGAGGAGGGGAGGAAGGAATACTCCGGCCACTATCTAGCTTTGGCTTAAACGACCACCACCCCCGTCAGCCTAAATTCGGCTTTCCTGGCCTTACGGACCAGGTTCTTAGGGGGGCCGGCGACCGGCAGGCCCAGGCGGGTCTGGCCCAAGGATTTTCAAGCGCCAACTTTGATGATTTTTCGCGCTTAGATAATTGAAGAAAAAATCGAACAAATTGTGATCTTTCTAGGAAAAATATCAAAAAAATAAAAAACAAATATTTAGAGAATTTTAGACCGTGAAATAAATGCGGTGCTGTTTCGTCGCATTGTCCATATTTGCCACTCTACCACGTGTGGGCCAACGGGAAAAACACCCCAACTTCCGCATTTTTTTGTGCTCAGAAGGATGACTGAACAACTCTGCAAATTGAAGGGCCTGTAGATTTGGTCGTGGACCCCCCACGAAAAATATATATATAAAAAGAAGTACCGTGAAATAAATGCCACGCCAATTCATCCCATATTCCAGTTTTGCCACTCTACCACATGTCGGCCAACGGGAAAAGTACCCCGACTTCAGCGATGTTTCACGTCCAATACAATACTCTAAGAAATCCGAAAATTGGAGAGTCTGCAGATTTCGTCGTGATCTTTCTAAGAAAATATTAAAAATATATATTTAAAAATCATTTCAACCCCGAAATGAATCACGGGGGCAATTCAATGCATTTTTGAATTTTGCCACTCCGCCAGTTCCCCCCACTGTGCTACCGGTAGCCCTGATGGACCTGTGCTACCGGTCCTCTTTAATTTAGGACGGCGGGGGTAGCAGTATGTTTCCCATACATCGGCTGTGGGGAAAATAGTAGAAAGTACTGGAAAAGTTTCTAGTCGGATGATTTTGGGCGCTCCCATAGTGGCCCGTTCATTCATCAATTTTGCGGCTTGTTAACCGCCTCGACTTTCGCCAGGTACTTGTGGTTTTTAAATATAACTGTGCTGGACCTCCGTAACCGCGTTCCATCCTGAAGTACAAGACCTATTTTGCGTGGACACTCACGGGCCAGGTCCTGCTACCCTGGATTGTCCATTTCTGACCGTAGATTGCAGAGATTGACAATCGGAACAGGACAATTCGGCGAGTAGGTCTTTGCTCCAGGTATGTTGAAATGATAGCAGAGCAGCATCAGCACAGTCAGAGAGTACCAAAAAAAAAGAAAAAAAGAAAGAAAAAAGAACTAAAACTCAAGGTGCAGCATGCATGTGGACAAGGTTCAGTACACAATTCTTTTATTTTTTATTTTTTTTTGTTTTAGCAATGTTTTGTCCTTGCCAGACTCTCAGTTATGGAAGAAGTGCAGGAGTGAGATCCCACTTGCCTGGATTCGGTTTTTACCGTTCTTAAGCTCTTTTATTATTTTTTTAAATTCTCCATATCTGGATCGCCCGATTATCGGGATCGATGACCAAAAACAAAGAATCCAGATATAATGCACCTTGGTGCAGAAGCAGCAGAACTCCTTTCACCC